AAAAAAAAAAAAAAAGTCAAGTCAAAACTCACAAGTGGAAGCGAAAAGGATGTTCAAAAAGTGTGAAGCTGCTAAGTGTCCAGGCTGGGACGGATCCGATTTGCCTGATAATCTTCTAGATTTGTCATCTTAGATTTGACACTGTATGGGAAGGATCAACTGCTGCTCAGAAGGTTGGACGGAGATTTGCTTCGGGGGCAGAAACACTTGGGAGCTGTGGACCAAACAAATTATAGACACCGACCGCTGGACGCGGCCCTGAATGCCTCTCAGAGGCCTGAGCAGATCAGACCGCAGCTGAAACCAAAACCTGTTGATGCACGCGGATTTTCTCGGCGGCGCATCTTATAAACAGACTATTGATTCAACACATAGGCACCGACCGGGAGTGGAATTCAACTCTAATGTGTAAACGGACACCGTGCAGGCCGACACGACGTGCTCGGATGAAGTGAGCGAGTGGAGCCAAACGCCGTGAGACGGCTCTGAAACAAAAGGAGCGCGGCTTTGGAGGAGAGCAGGTTGTTCATATCTGTGTCTGGAAAGTAGACGGTCATTGGGACATTCAATTCCACTCAGTTCCTCAGCTTCAAAAATATCTTAGGATGCCCTGTGGATAGGCAGACAACTCTTTCTGCCATAATTTAATTTAAAGTAACGCACGGTATTTAATGTTTGTAATGTTTATATGATGTGCCACAAGAATAAGAATATTCAGCTCATCCTTTATTACCTTTTTTTGTCTGGGAGGAAAAAGGCTAATTAAGAACACACTATTTCAGTTTTAGTCCTCAGGCAATTTGGCACTAGATTTGAGATAAGACAAACAACATCTGCTGGATACAAGGCATCTTTGAAAAAAATAATTTAAAAAATCCTCCGTTTTATTTTGATTCCAGGAATTTTACTCTACTGCGCTTATCCACTCACTTTCGGGGGAATAAAAACTCATGTCGGTGTTACATCACTGTCAAATTTTTGGAACCTTCCATGTACCAGTGGGGTTATAAAACAGCCCAGATAAGGTGGCAAGAGAGTGATTTACTGCTTTTTTTTCTTTGCACTTCACGGACTGTTTTTCTATTTCTCCGTTGAGCCCCTCTGGGAGAGATTACATGTGTAATTTTCAGCCGTGAGATGTTTTAAGTGACCTACCCCCAACATAAATAAAACATTTCAATGAAGAAGAAAAAAAAACATTTGGGAAGAGTGATGAACTACTAAGTTCTTTGAAGGAAAAGCCTGGAGTGAGGAGATCCAGATTGGTAGCAAATGAAACATATTTAAAGATGTTTGACAGACCTATGCTTCTATTCCTAAATAAGAGCTAATTTGTTTGAATTTAAAATCGAAACCGTCCAAATTGAAATTGGAACCTGGTAACTGAAATAATTAGCGTGAATTCCCCAAAATGTTTCCAGAGTGTGAAGGGGCTCATTTGGATTCATAAATAACACAATGCAGACAAGCACATACACAGAGCTCCACTCTGAGAGCACCTTGACTCTTCGAAAGGAGCAGCTCATTGACCAATCTGCTCTGACAGCAGTGTGGCGTGAGCCTCTGACCCTGTGACTGCAAAGGGTCTGTGTTCAGTGGCCATGTAAGGGCTCACTGGAGCTCACTGGAGAGGGGCTCTGCCCTGCCCTGGGGGAGGCGATGGGCACAAACATATACACGCACACAGGCATGCATACATGAGAGAGACTCACGGCCTACTCCACGCCAAGCCCCCTCAGGTATGCACGGCCACAGAGCGGTGAGTGTGTGCATCCAGTTTGGAGGTGGAGACAACTGGCAGGCTCGTCCTCCTGTGACCGTGTACAGGTCCCGTCTGTATCTGTATCGCTGCCCCTCCTTCTCTCTGCTCAAAAAAGGTGAGACGGTTCAGCACGCATAAACGTGAAAATCCAACGTGCAAATGCTTTGTGGCCCAACTCCTGCTTCTCCTGACATTGTTGTATCCCTGAGAGAAGTTTTCATCGCACACACTTTTACCACATCCACTAAAAGAATATGTTTGACAGACTAAATCTTTGTATGATGCAGCCCTCCAATTTAACAGAATGAATGGTTGCAAAAAGATTGATGGACTGTTTTTCTTTTGGTGACATCACAGGGTTCACAAGGGAGGAGGGGGTGCCAAGCTGCCTGACTGTTTATTTACATTTGCCCTTTTTAAATGATCCCTTTCTTCTCAACATCTGCTGCACATTACCACACAGATATCTGTCCTAATGACCGCTATAATGCCTGAGCTCACACACTTGCTCAAACATGAGCACTCGCACAGACACTGCGAGTAACATTGCCATTATCCACTGCTCATCTGGGACACTTTGCTCTCTTCAAACCACCTTGCACAACAAATAGACCTTCTCTCACTGTCCACCATTTTTGGTTTGCACCAGCTCCCAGTTCGGCACAGTCTGATGGATGCAAATGTGCACTTACTTAATTGGAACAGTTCCCGAGAAGAAGATAAAGACAGAACAGATTCTTTTTGTTATCGTTTTTTCTTTTTTAGCTGTACTCAATTAAACCTAGTCGTATTCATTAATAATTGGAGTGGTGGTGAAAGGAGTCACCACCACTGTTCTGCTCATTCAAAACTCTGTGCCAACCCAAACCGGCCATCACTAAGACGATGAGGGGCAGGAACGTGCACGGGCCCCTTCTGCAACAGCGCCTCAGTA